ACATGCAGAAGATTAAAACATGACCCCTACCTATCACCATACACAAAAATCAACTCTGAAAGTCTAAATGCATCAAAGACCTAAACATAAAACTTCAAACTGTAAGAACCCTAGAATATGCAGAAGACACACATCCTTATGGAAATTGAAACTGGCAAGCAATTCCTGATCAAAACCCCAAGTGCCCATGCCATAAGAGATGAGCTAAACAAATGGGATCTCATCAAACTGACAAGCTTCTTCAAAACCAAAGAAACCATTAAGAGAGCGGGGAGACAGCCCACAGTCTGAGAAAAAAAAAATTCCAACTGTATAACTGAAAAAGATCTAACATCTAAGATCTACAAGGAACTCAAACGTGCTGAAAAGAAAAAACAAACAGCTCTATTACAAAGCAGGCAAAAGATATGAATAGACACTTCTCAAAGGAAGGCATACGAGAAGCCAACGAATACATGCAAAAATGTTCAGACTCATTAATCATCAGAGAAATGAAAATTAAAACTATACTGAGATATCACCTAACTCCAATCAGGATGGTCATCATCAATAACTCAAAAAACAACAGATGCTAGAGAGGTTGCGGGGAAAAGGGAACACTTCTACACCGTTGGTGGAAGGGTGAACTAGTGTAACCTCTGTGGAAAAAAGTTTGGCAATTCCTGAAAGACCTAAAAATCGACCTTCCTTATGACCCCGCAATCCACCTGCTGGAAATACACCCAGAGGAATTCAAATCACTCCATGAAAAAGATATCTGCACATGCATATTATTGCAACATTATTTATAATATCAAAAACATGGGACCAACCATGCTGCCCATCGAAAGAGGACTGAATTTTTAAAAATGTGGTAAATATATATGATGGACTATTATGCATCCATAAAGTAGGACAAAATTATGAACTTCACGGCAACTTGGATGGACTCAGAGTCCATAATACTGAGTGATCTATCACAGAAACAAAGAACTGAGTACCACATGTGTCTCACTCATAAGCAGACCTTGAACAGTTATTATAATACTATAAGAAAGGGATTGGCAATAGTTGGAAACTACCAGGGCTGCCTGGGGCGGGGGCGGGGGGGAGTTACATCTCATCAACAAGAGTACCTGCATAATAAACATTTGTATACCAAACACTGAACTGTATTCTACATCTTCAAAATAAAAAATTTACAAACCAAAAAAGCCTGTTCATGGAAACTGATTTTTCATCAAGAATTTAAAAAGAGAGGAAAAAAAGAAAAGATCAGTACAATTGATTTTTCCATTCCATCTTTGTTAATATATACATTAGTATAAAGCTGTTTATAATATCTTCTGACTAGCTTTTTCTTTATTATTATTATTGTTGTTATTATTTTATTTTAAAGATATGGTGTAAAATTCAGGATTAGGTATATAACTGGTTAGTGTACAGGTGAAGTTCAGGCCTCCCAATGGTCCCCATTCTGCCTGGTTTAGAATTACATACCCTTATTGATATTTTGTGTCCCCCTACTCTCCTCTGGCAGTGTCCCACTACTACCAATCCCTTATATACCACTCCATTGAGAATTAACATTTTGGCCCTTGCCTTGCTAAGCTATGGTGTGACCATGTGCTCTTTGAGCTATGGTCAGGCCATGTTTCCTGGTTTTTGGCCCCCTCTCCTACCTTGGGGAGGTAAATCTCCTCTTTCTCTCTCTCCGAATTACTTTCTAAATAAACTATATTTTCTAATCTGAAAAAAGATAGAAAATTAACATTTTAACTTTATTGAATCTTCCAATCAGTAAAAATGATTTATTTATGTTCTATTTTCTAGATCTTTTCACCTTTTAAAAATAAATATGTACAATTTTCACTATAAAGATTATATATCACTTTGTTGGATTTATTGTCTTCTTTTATACTATTATCTCCCTTTGCTTGAATTTATTCTATAACCTTCAATTAGCCCATTAATTTTTACCTTAAAATTATGTTACCTAACCATGTAAGAGCATTAATTTTTATCCTTTCTGCTTTTTAATATTTGTTTTTAAGACAAAAAATATTCTAAATAAGGTTTTTGTTACGTCAAGTATATTTTGTTATGTAGAATTTTCACTATCATCACGACAAAATATATTTTATTCTTCCTTTGCCATTTTTAACCCATAGTTTACTTCACAATATTTTTATTCATTTTAAAGATATAAGATATTTTTTAGTTTTTTGGAAAATTACTGATTTCTAAATTAATTTCATTTTGATCATATTTTTTCACAGCCCAATATATCATCAAACATAACTTTTTTTCCTGAGACATGAAAAAAATTCATTCCACAGTTTTAATTGCAATATTCTATATATTTTCATTAGCTGGAGCTTATAATTGGGCTCTGTAAATTTTCTATGTGCTTACTGGTGTTTTTCTTTCCTTGAGTTACCAAATAATTAAAATTGCTAATATTAAAATAGTTAATATTGCTCACTATTGTGATACATTTGTTTATCTCTTGTTAGTTCTATTTTAGCTTTATTAATTTTAATGTTATAGATTCTTAGTGAATTAATCTCCAGAAGGGCTTTTAAAAATAAATCCTATTTTACTGATATTCATATAGTCATACCTATGTTCCTTAGGGTGGCATATATTCAGAATATCCTTTCTATCTTTTCAATTTCAACAATTCTGTATCTTTATGATTTAGATCGACGTATCATGTTGTAAATAGCTTGTAGCTATTTATTAACTTGAAGCATTTATTGTATTTGCTTTTCCTAATCTTTGATTTGCAATATATTTGGATTTATTTATATGTTTCTTTTCACTTGTCTTCCTTTCTCTCTGTCTCTCCTTTCTTGTTTTTTTCTTCTTGTTTCACGTAGCACATAATTTGATAATAATCATTTTTCCTCCACTTCTAATGTAATTATTCTATAAATTTTTTTTTTTTTTTTTTTTTGAGTTGGAGTCTCACTGTCACCCAGACTGGAGTGCAGTGGCGGCTCCCGGCCACCGCAGCCTCACCCTGCTGGGCTCCGGCGATCCTTCCGCCTCAGCCTTCCAAGTAGCTGGAACTACAGGGGCACACTACCATGCCCAGCTAATTTTTTTGATTTACTGTAGAGATGAGGTCTCGCCTGCCCAGGCGGGTCTCGAACCCGCGGGCTTAGGTAATTCACTCACCTCAGCCTCCCAAAGGCGCGGGATTACAGGCTGAGCCACCAAACCCGGCTATTCTATAAATTTTAAGATGCACACTTTGTGATTTTAAATTTGACATGTACTCCCTCTTCTAGAATTGTACAAGGACATAAGAACATTTTAAATACAATGTTCTCTGTGAACTTCTGGGAAATAGATTCTTCATTATTTGTTTTGGGGAAGTTTGTGGACATTGTCCCCTGAAAGTCAAATGCTCATATTCTGCAAGGTCTACATCTTTCTTTGAATTCCTTCAATATCTAGGATTCTGAATGAAAATAAAAGTGCCAAATAGAAGCCAACTGACAGTTTTAGACTTAAGAGTTTACACTGTGGAACCTTTAGCTAAAATTGTGTATTGTTGAATACTTCAAGAACAAGAAAAATAAATAACCAAATGTAGAAAGTGATCATCAGATATCCCATGCTCATAGGCCAAATATGCTAATAATAATCTACTCTTAGTGACGATTATTGATAAATGAATCTATAATAGCATGGACAGTGGCCTACAGTTCTCTATAATTTTTATTTATGGTAGACATTAGCAAAAGCTGGTTCTCCTCCCCTAATAGATACTTATATTACTGATGTTAGGCGAGGCTATGCAACTTACTTTGCCCCACTTATCAAAATGTGAATAGAAGTTGCCTGTAGCCGGGCTCGGTGGCTCAGCCTGTAATCTCGCGCTTTGGGAGGCCGAGGTGAGTGGACTGCCCGAGCCCGTGGGTTCAAGACCCGCCCGGGCAACTTGGTGAGATCTGATCTCTACAATAAATCAAAAGTCAGCGCGCGCCTGTAGTTCCAGCTCCTTGGAAGGCTGAGGCGGAAGGATGGCCGGAGCCCAGCAGGTCGAGGCTGCGGTGGCCGGGAGCGGCCGCTGCACTCCAGTCTGGGCGACACAGTGAGACTCCAACTCAAAAAAATAAAGAAGAAGTCTGTGTAACTTCTCATTGGAAGCATTTGAGAGCCTGTACACAATTTTTCATGCTCTCTGACCCAGACTCTTTGACCAAGAGTATTTCACACGATGTGACCACGGGGTGACGGTGTCTTCATTAGCTTAGATCACCAACAAGGCTGCATGGAAAACAGTTGCCCTGAAGAGTTGTCAGACTCACAGCAAACTGCGTTATCAAGAAATAACTCTGTACTGACAAAAGGGCTTTGAGATTATCTATTATTGCACAATAATTTAGCCGAATCTAGCTAATAATGTATTTAACTTAATGTTCACTACATAAGGCAAAGTAGATATTATTTTTCAACATGTTAGATATAAGTTTATTGAAACACAGAACAATCATGCTACTTTCTAAAGTCATCCTCCAGTTTTAAGAATCAAGACCTGAAGACGGCTGAGCACAGTGGCTCACATATGTAATCTCCGCATTTTGGGAGGCCGAGGCAAGATAATTACTTGAGGCCAGGAGTTTGAGACCAGTTTGGACAGCATAGCAATATTACAAATAATTTTAGAAAAATTAGCCAAGTATGGTGGTGTGCACCTGTGGTCTGTGGTTCTGGCTGCTTCAGTAGGTGTAGTTGGAGGATTAATTTATCCCTGGGGTTTAAGGCTGCAGTGAGTTGAAATCTACCATTGCACTCTAGCCTGGGCAACACAGGGAGACTAAGTCTCAAAAAAAAAAGAAAAGAAAAGAAAAGAAAACCTGGAGGAACAGTTTGCTTAAAAATGAAATATAAAATATATAAGTTAATTAAATTAATAATAATACTTTACTTCATTATAGTCCAATATTACTCCTATTTAACACTTTGCTAAAATATTTGTAAGATGAAATTTCCATTGTAATACTTACTTGGAACTATAAATTCTATTTCTTCTGACATAGCCATTCCCAGTTTATTAGAAGCAAAGCAGCGGTATTTCCCCTGAAAGTGAGATATGTGCCCTTCATTTGGGATCTTGAATGTTCCTGAATTATTAGATATAATTATCCGAGGGTCAGAGAGATCAAAAATCTTGTCATCCTTAGTCCATGTAAATCTATAAAATAAAACTAAACTTAATAATCCTGAAAATCACAACATATTTCTTAATTTTAAAGTATTTATAAACAGCTAAATAAAAATGGCAAAATCAAGGCATTTTATGGAAAAATAGAATATGTAATAATGTAATATAATAGAGTACAAATGAAAGTCTCAGAAGAATATGAGAAATCTTAAATTCATAAAAAGCCTTGACAAGTGACAGAATAAAATTGAAGGTGACTTTTATTTTTATTCTTTTTAAATTAAAGCTGTTTTGTGGTTTTTCCAATTAGAAAGCTAATGCAGAATTATCGCCAATATTTTGGAGACTCCGATAAATATAATATATACCATTTCTGTTTGTGTATGCATGAAAATAACTCACTCAAAATCCAAAAACACACAAGCCAAGCACTATTAAATTTGCTCACATTTCCTACCAGTATTTTTAGACTTATTTGTCACACATTTGAAGCCACACCGAATATATAATTTTGCAGTTTAATTTTTTCAGTTATAATGCTACTAAGGACAATTTTTATGACATTATCTTTTGTCATATGGTTACTGTTTTAATTACTTTTAACCATTTCAATTGTTTTTCATTTTATGAACAATACTGTGATAAACAACTCTACATATTTATATTTGGTCCTGTCCAAATATTTTTATGCTAATTTTTTAGAAATGAGACCAATAGAATAATAATGAAGATAACTGCTATAATTTTTGATAAATGCTGCATAACTGCATTCCAGAAAAAAAATACAGAAAGTTGAATTCCAACTACATGATGCTGAAGTGTCAAGTTCTATGAACAATGATTTAAAAAGTATTTTAAAATTTTTACCTAGACTGATAAAACAATTTATAGACAAATAATGACTTCTTAATTAGATTTCATTCAGCATTTTATATAAGAATTACCCACATAAATTTGGGTGTATTTCATGTCAGCACATTGTCATTCTAATCAATCTATGATTATTCTTCCAATAGGAATAGCAAATCTTCATTGTACACATATTTTCAATAGGAATATGCCTGCGTAACCACTCCCCTAACTTCTTTTACACTCTTTCTCTGTGTTTCATGTTTTACTAGTGATAAATGTATTGTACTATCTTTTGACATAATAATTGTTAGTTGGAATTAACATATCATGAAATTGATCAACATATTCACATCTATTGAATAAATTTCTTCATTTCATTTTAATTCTATCTATATTTATGTATATTGCAGGATATAATCAATTTGGCAAAATATGGAAATAATGATAATTTAGCATGTTAACTAATTAATGATGATTTTTAAAGTATGAAATTATCAGGCAACAACGTCAGTCATAATTTAAAATAATAAATTTTCATTAAATATATATCTTCTTAATAAATATGAAATTACTATGCAGAACAATACAAAGATGCATCTTTGCTTCCCATTTAGAATTACCCAGAATTTAAATATTAGAAATTCTTCCTATAGCTTCTCTATTCTCACTTTCAATACATACACAATTTTTTATCCCTCCCAAAACATGGAAGGCGTTTTGAAAAAGCTCATCAGTGATTATGATCACATAGAATAGCAATTATTAACTAACAAACAATACTAGATAGTAGTGTACCATGTAGATAATATTCAGTCATTTGAGATGACAATATTTCTATGACAATTTTAAAAATCAAGTAGCCTATTCACGGGGTCAAATTTATAGACATGCAATAATAAATATATATAGAATATTATTTATAAATGTGCTAACTTTGATGTAGTAAATATTACCTTTCACCGGACAGAATAAAGATACAGAATCTTCTAGTTTTTAGTTACCTTGTTTATTCATTAAGCAAGGAATTTGTTGAATATTTCTGCTGTACCAAAGACTACTCTAAGTTTTAGTATAAGACACCTTAGTTTATGTTTAAAATAAATTCAGCTGGCAGAAGAACATACGCAAAGTAACCAAACTTTGTTTTTACAGACAAAGCTAATGTTCATTTGTAAACCCTTTGCTTCAGTCAAGTGTAGATCTATAGTCCAACAAGCTTATGATGGTCAAATTTTAAAATACCACAAAGAACAGCACACATGTAAAGAGTAGATTAATTTGGAAGAATACTCACATTGGGTCGGGATTTCCTTTAGCTTCACATTCAATTTGAAAATACTCATCAAAGGGAAAGGCAACTTGCACTTTTGACTGTTTTATGATTGTTGGAACCTGTTGAACTAAATATTTTAAAACATATATAAAAAACACGCTATTCACAAACTGGGCAAGATTAATTTAGTTATAACAGAAACATTTTAAACACCCTTTCTATACCAATAAGTGAAAGGATGATACAAAAGTGAAAATCAGAACAAATCTGACTTCCTTTTTCAACATGTATTTACTTCTAAAGAATAAATTTCACTGCCATCATTTTATGTTGCCATATATATTAATTTTACTTAAACCCAGAGCAAGGTAACAATATTTAAAGCAGAAGAAAAATTGTTTCACCATCACAACAGTGAAGTAAAGTGGTTCTTCATATTTTTGTCACTACTAAGCACTAGCATTTAAAAATTATAAAATACTTTTTTTACCAGTTACAAAGAAAAATACAATCCCTCATTCTCTGCATTTTGATCTACATTTTTTGTTAATAAATATTTTTTCCATAAGTGTATTTGGTATTTATCATTTCTCACTTAGAATTTTTCCTTTTATATCTTTTTCCCACTCATCTACTGAGAACTTGAGACTTTGTTTCCTTAGATAACTTAGCCTGCCAACAACCATTATCATGAAATAGTAGCTAATACAAAATGTATTCTTTTGTTGTTAGTAGATTCTTTATATTCACATATCCCCTCCTCTTGTGACACACTATGTTAGTGTTTGTTTGTAAAGTAATGTTCAGGAAAAATAAAATTTTAAAAAGTAAGAAATAACTTTGCCTCCCATGTAATGAAACAGTTAGACCACATTTCTGAGAATTGTGAATATAAAGTAAATGTACTAAGGCTGAAAATGCAATCTTAGTCAAGTTTTGAAATAGGACACAGATCATGACTCAATATTTCAAATGGAGACATTTCTATTTTAGTACAGTTCTTAGAACCTTGAATAAAGGGACAAATTCAGAAAGAAATGCAAACTATTCAGCAGCAAGGACTTGTCTTTGGCAGATATGTTTTGAGAAAAGCAATTTGCAAACAGGCACAGACCTGATTTAAATGAGTAATATTTTATGGTAGAGTTACAAACAGGACCATAAAACTTATGACATTGGACCAGGCCCTGAGCTACTCTCTGTTTTCTCATTTGTAATATTAAGAATTCAGCCTAGATAAGTTGTTTTTACACACTTTGGTTTCTTTTAGGACTCCCCTATATTCTTAAAAATTACAAGAAATCCCACAAAGTTTGTATTTATGTGAATTATGTCTAACAATGCTTACTATAATAGAAATAAAAATCTTTACAAATATTTACTTATTCATCCATTTAAAATAATACTATCATATGTCAAAATAAATCACATTTATGAAAATACTAAATATAGTTAGAAGGATGGCATGATTTTATATTATTGAACATTTCTATAATTTCTTAAGAGAAAGCACTTGAATTCTCATACCTGTTTCTCTGTTAAATCTGCTGCAATAGGTTGACTTGTTCAAAGATAAGAACAAAATTCAGCCTTATACAGATATGTGGTTGAAAAAGGATGATAAATAGTTTAGTCATTTCTGATGGTTGTGGACATTTTTCTTGAACAGTCCACCAAACTCAGCAAGTGGCAATTTATTAAAGGTTTATTGTAATGTGGAATCTGTTTTGTTTGGTTTGGTTTTCAGTTGAAGTTTCACCCTGTCACCCAGACTGGAGTGCAGTGGCACGCTCCCGGCCACCACAGCCTCGACCTGCTGAGCTCCGGTGATCCTTCCACCTCAACCTTCCAAGTAGCTGGAACTACAGGCACGCGCTACCACGCCCAGCTAATTTTTTGATTTATTGTAGAGATGAGGTCTCACCAAGTTGCCCAGGTGGGTCTCGAAGCCGCGGGCTCAGGCAATCCACTCACCTCAGTCTCCCAAAGCGCGGGATTACAGGCTGAGCCACCGAGCCCGGCTGTAATGTGGAATCTGAAATCTGTAAATTTTTCATATTCTATGACATTAAGCTATTTTACTGATTTTTTTCATTCCATGCATAATTTTTTAACATCATGCTGTGGTCATTTGGAAATAATATTGGTTTACTGAGTTATGCAGATCTTCCAAACATTGACACATTTCATTATATAATACTAAAATTTTACACTTGTCAATACCACTACTGATCTAGTCAGAGTCTTAAATGTTAGGAAACTCTCAAGTTCACAGTGCAGGATATACATATTCCACAATTTTGATTTTTTTCTTAAACCCTCAAATTTAATCAATGACAACATTAATGTCAATTGTTTATCTTGAAGTACGGGTTCACTTGGTTCACCTTCAGGAAAATATTTGCCTTATACCCATCTGAGCAAACACAATTTGTTTGTCAGTCATTACTTTCAAGTACACATGGTGTCCAGCTTGGTACTCAAGCAATGATACAATGAAGGAATAGAGATAACCACCATGCTTTGATACAAGGCAAAATTATTTTGTCTACTTCCCAGTTCACCTCAATATTAATATAATTAACAATGTTTTTAATTGCTTCAACAGTCATGATCTTATGAAAACTGGTTTTGTTTTGTTTTGGAATTTTTATACAGTGTCTGGTCATTGAGAATACCTTGCATATGAGTACAGTTGAGTACCATTATCTTAATCTGTATTAGGCAGCAGCACTTTACTGTCCTTGCTTTTGTATCATTAGTGCAAAGAGAATACAGTGAAAATGGAAAAATAACATAGAATAAGTATGAAAACAGTTTAATCTCATGGACCATCTGAAAGTACCCCTGGGACTCTAAGAGGTCCACAAACCACATTTTGAGCATTGATAGCCAGCCTAGAATAACTCAATGACCTTTCTCATTCTAATATTTTATTTTAGTTTTTACTTTTGCTTAATAAAATTGATAAATGAGTTTTACTAGCATATGAATATTAGTTCAAGCTCAGTATTTATCTTTAGAAATTTATAAACATTTTAGTAACATGCAAAAAACATTCACATCTTTAGTGACATTCACCTTATATCTGATTTCTTCTATTTCTAAGTAGAGCAAGTCTTGAGCTTATTGAAAATTCATATCACTTAAATTTTATTACAGCATAAACGGTGAGGGATGATGCACAATAGCAACAATCCCTAAGATATTGGCTAATAACTTGCAAACAACTTGTTTATTAGAACATTATTCTTTCTTAAATTTGCTAAGGTTGTAAAGGCTCAGCAATAACTAATTATTCAGGGAATGGAGCTAATAACCTGTGGGTGTTTATAAGAATATATATTCTACATTATAAATCTTTTCCTCTATAATTAGGCCAATTATGGAGACACTATACTCGTTGACATTCAAATTGGATACCTGCCTTAGTTACATTTACTGGAAAGTACTCTAGAGGACTGAAGTAAATGAATAATATTCAGTTGTTCTGAAAACATGTCATTAATATTTTATAACAATTGTTGTCTAAGGACATTACAGCATGAAAATGCATAAGTCACTGAGACAACCAGAATAAAAACGTGTGCCACGAATTAATACATTTCACATCCTTCACTACTGATATACAAAGTGAAAAATGATGGAGAGTATATGTATATGTCGGAGAATATGGTCAGGATTATGAATCAGGAATCTCAATGGCATTTTTGTTGTTATGGGAAAGAAAATGTAAAATTATTGACCCTTTTTCCATAGGATCACTAAGAATCTTGCTCTTAGCGTGGCATTGCATACCCAAACCCCAAGAATCCACTAAAGATGAAGGAACTACAGTCTCTTGACCAGAATTTCTATAACGAAGCTGGTCAGTGATGAAATCTAATGTATTGTATGTAGGCCGAAAGATGTTAGCTCAATATAAAGAAAATTTTAAATCTGTGTATCTGTTAGACAGGTAAGCAGAATTTCTTTAGAAATAGGAATATTGAAACAGGCTTCCTCATCTATTAAGGATAGAGAGAAATGATTCTTACATTGAAGGGCAGGACTTCTAAAAGTGTGTGATGTAAAACGACACATAAGGTAATGTAAAAGGGTTTTCAGAAATGGTTTTATTATAAATGATATTGTACATTTAGAGAGTTATTTTCTTTTCATATACAGTCTGTCTGAGTACCTCAGAAGGCAAGTTTCAGTTCAATGTTAGCACTTCCCAAACACACATCAAATTTTCTAAGGTCAAGATTCTTTCTTTAGAATTTAGATGATATACAGATATCATTTCCAATGTTAAGATTCTAATAAACAATCAATGCCTCCAATATTATAACCCTTCAAATTACATGTGGAAGACAGAATAGGAATTATATTTGAAGTACATGAATAAAAATTTCCTAATAAACTCTCAGGAATCTTTTAGATCCTATACGCTTATAACACAAGAAAAATTTCCCAAAACTCTACATTACAGACTTGATATGGTTTTACATAAATTATGTTTGCAGTTGTATTTAAAAGAAAGTTTAGAGACTAGGTCTTGTGACACTGTCCAGGCTGGAGTATAGTGGCTATTTGCAGGTGCAATGAAAGTACATTATAACCTCGAACTCCTGGGCTCAAGCAAAAGTAGCTGGGACCACAGTGTGCTCACTGTATCCTACTGATGTACTAGTTCTGAACTATTAATTACTAAAACTTGTTCAAATTGACTTACAATGATTAATAATCTGCATCTATTTTTACCAACATTTGTGAAAATATATATTTTCATGACAGTACTAGCCTCTTAATATAAATTTATACTATAAATGCTCTAGATTTTGAGAGATGATATCATCTTACACTTTTAGTTGTAAAATCATTTGCTATGTTCTTAATTCATTGTTTTCATTTTAAAATATATAATTATTTTATAAAAGAAAATATTTATTCTATTTCCTTTTATCGGAATTGGTTGAATGCCAGTAATTTCTGAATCTTAATCCTCTCTAAAAATAAAGTAATCTAAGAATATAAAAGAAAAGGTTGTTTATAGTATCATAATCTTGCAGATAATGTTAGACAAATGAAAAAAATGTCAAGTGGTCTACAGGTGATGTTTCTTGTTATGTGCTAAGTCTGCAAAAGAGGCAAAAAGTCTTGAGTTGCAAAATAATCAAGAGCCACATATTAGCCACCCCCAAACTGAAAAAGGTACATATAAATTCTAATAACAGATTGCTGGAAAATATATAGAAATATGGTAGAAAATTCGTTTCCTCACTCCATAAGTATTCTACTAAAAAAATCAAAGTGCAAATATGAAATTCTATAAATAGGTATGAATATGATCACTTTACCTGAGGGTGGTATTTCAATCGCTGTTGAGAATTTTAACAAAATTACAAGTATGAGTAATCTTCTTCCACTTAAAAGTATCTCCATTGCTCTTCAAAAGGAAACAATTCAGAAAGAATGACGATCTTAATGTCTCCTCTTACTTTTGATTTAAAGCTGAAGAGACCTTAGTTAACCTGGAAACTAAGCAAACAATCAAACAAAAGTATAAAATATTAGTTCATAAACTCAGAAATGTTCACATGACAGAAATTAAAAATATTTTGGCAGTATTTTATCACATCTCTAGTGATTCCACATAAATAAAATTAGTTTTTCCTTTTGGTATATAAAATAAAGAATAGTAAAAATACACTATACTGTAAACCACAAACTATTCCAATAAATCATATTTATAAAACAGAGGAAATTTTACTTGGAAAACGTGCTATTACACACTAATGAGTGTTATAGGCTAAGAGAATAACTTCATTTGGTTAATTTCATTTAGAAAGTGGCTCTTTTTCAATTTTTTATATGAGGCATCTAATTCTATTTGAGTAATTATTAAGGATCACATTTTTAATTTTTCTGGTGAAATAACTTTGCATCTTCAAAGTTTTCACACTAATAGAAGGTAGATAGTTCTAGCAAGATATATGAAAAAAGAAAAATAAAGAAAAACGTGCAAGGACCAGCCATATGAACTAAAACTTATGTATGTGGATTTGGTTCAAGCAGAAGATAAAGGCATAAGTTACTTCTCATTTAGGCAGAATGTTTTGTTACCTCAAAGTTTATAGAAATATAATAATAATTAAAATTTTAATTTTTCTTTACTTTTTCTTACAATTTCAGTTTTTCTGAAGCATTGTAAAAACAGACATCTAAATACTGTTTATAATGCATTCTTGATAATAATAATAATAATACAACAATCTACTCCAAAATGTGATAATCCATCTTTCAGGTATATAATTTTATTTTTTTCCCTAAAAATAAATTGCTCTCTTTGTTCACTTGGAACTGGTGAAAATAAAAATGAAGACAGAGACAGGAAAGCCATTACATTTATATTTGATTCCAAATATTTTGACTTTATCATTTTACCTCGAGTTGTATCTCAAGAGATTATAGACCAGTATCTTTCATATATGTGTACAGGTTGGTCAAGTTTAAAGTAGTAGCTAATGCTGTTATTTTGTTTTATAATTTTAAGAGTCTTATTTATATTCTACTTTGAAAAAAGTTATATTAATCATGAAGCAAAATGCTACCCTTTCCCCCCAAATTGTGAATCTTTGTTCTAAATAGAGTAATGGCATTACTCTACTTTGCATGATCGCAGTTGACCCATCTGTAAAATGGAAAATGGAAAAAACAAATCATCATTGTGTGCTTCAGAATATTTTCTAATAGTAAATAATTTATATTAATGATTTAAAATATTTTCAAATGTGTCAGTATGTTAATTGACACTACTTTCTGATGAAATAATTTGGTCCAAACAATAAAATAAAATGTAGGAAAAATGCTTTTATTATAAAAAAAACACTGCCTTAATTCTGAGTTCTACATATTTGTACAAACTTGAGAGACACTAAACTATGTAGCTATTTATAAGATGAAAAATCTGAGGAAAATATTAATGCCTTGTTCTTTGGATTTTTCTTTTCCTAGTCTTTTCTGAAACTGTAATAATAGTAATCTTAGTTCATTGTTTGTAATTATATATTAGTCTTTACTTGCAATCTATTTATTCATTATTCAATATTAATTCCATTAATATTAAGTGCTGATTGCTTAAAGGCAAATCATATATGCGTTTGATAAGTTGCCATCTATTTGTAAGGAGCAAGGCTTTCAAAACCATGAAGCTACTAAGAGATCATATTTCCAGGTTAATATCTTATATCATCCTGAAATAGGGAATAAAAATACCTAGACAGTCAAATAAGTGAGAACAGTCTCAATTTCAATTAATTTCCTGATTTAAGCTAGTGAGTTTAATGGTCTTTAATTGCTGCAGTAAAATTGCTTGTAGATACTAATTATTCAATAATGGTTATCTGACTTTTGGAATTTTAATAGTCTTAAGTGCATAGTCTTGACCCAAGACATTCTCTCCCATAAAAGGATGCTATAGCAAACTTCTGCCTTAAAAGAGGACTATATATTAAGGGAAATAACAAACATTGATGGCATCATCTGTTTCCAGTAGATAAAAAACAGCTAATTCTACATATGACTTTATCTTCCACAGAGATTAGCTTCAATTTACCGGAGATTTGCATGTTTCCAGGCTGTAATATAAAAATTATTGGAAGTAAAAATGTGATTCCCCTGCAAGCTAGACTCCATTAGGTGATAACAAAAGCCTCCAAATATATGTCAGATTAAAAAGGAAAAGTCGGTCTTAATTTCATTGTCAGACCACATAAAGGGCGCACTGTTTAGTAATTCTGTTTTGCAACATTAAGATAGCAATAAAATTATACTCCCATTTATCTTTCTTTTTTTTTTGCTGTTGTTTGTTTTTTTGAGTTGGAGTCTCACTCCTTCACCCAAGCAGGAGTACAGTGGCACGCTCACAGCCACCTCAGCGTCATTCTGCCTAGCCTTCCAAGTAAACAGAACCACAGATGCGCACTATCATGCCCATCTTTATTTTATTGTAGAGATGAGGTCTCACCAAGTTGCCCAGGCTGGTCTCAAACCAGCAGACTCAGGCAATCCTCTCGCCTCAGCCCCCCAAAGTGCTGGGATTACAGGCTGAGCCACTGAGCCTGGCCCCATTTATCTTTCTAGAAAGAGTAGGAGATGAATTCCTCATGAGAGACCTCAAAAAAAAAATTGTTATTAATAGAACTCACGATGCAGCTGACACTAAAAGAAGAACAAAATAAAATATACGAAAATATTTTTAAGGCTCAGACACATCAAGCTGGTGTCTGATAGCTTGTGTTAATGATATCAGCTCAGATCCACAAAAGAATCCATCAATTTGCATGAAACTGGATAAACTGTGTTAAATCTTCCTACTAACTTAACTCATCCTTAGAAAGAAGAAAATCATTCCTGCCATCTAAAAAGAAAATAGATGTCTTAGTGTCATATCATGCAATTGACCCTTCTTAACAGCCTCTTCATCTCTGTATGACTAGTGGGATAAGAATTAAGAATATATTGGCTTTGCAACATTAGATTAAACATGGACACACATGATTATCTCATAGGACTACAATATAACAACAAGGAAATACAGTTTTTTGATTCTTCAGAACAAAAGTCTCTGATATATATATATATATATATATATATATATATAAAACATCAGAGGGCTCTATGAGGCCTCTGATGTTTTTAAAAGGGCTTAATGGTAGACAGCCTAGAAATACTTTACTCCTTTTACTTAAATTCATCTTCTGCCTTAACAAATGGAAAACAGAGTTGGCTAAGACTGTCAATTCTGTTTGACCTCCCAGGTAAATGCAAAGCTACTGAGGACTGCTGACCAGTCAATGGGAAAGAGTAATGTGTAGTGAATGAGATCATGGGAAACAGAGTCAGTAAACCTGGGTTCAAAGTTGTTGCTTATTAGGTGACCTTGGGCAGTTTACCAACCTCTCACACTCATCTCTACAAAGAGATGTACTAGCTGCTGACCCATGGCACATTTATGAGGGATAAGTGAGGTAATATATAATTAGTACAGAAAAACAAATAAAAATTTACTAATAGCAGTGACAGTGGTGGTTATCGTGTTGCTAATGGTAATTAGGATATAGTCTCTACTAATATTATTTTGACCCAAAGAGTATGGTTAACTTGTGTGACTTCTGTTAGAATTACAAAATCACAACAACTTACAAAATAAAAGTTTATTCTCTAGATAATTAGTGGTGAAAAGATATAAAATACTCCAAAAAAAGTGGGAGAGTGCAGTAGACTGATTACAAAAACTACATTGCTTCTTTCCTCCTTGTATCCACATACTTTGTAATATGACTTTACAGCTCCTTCCAAGAAGCTGTTTCCTCACTTCTTGAGTCTGGTCAACCATTCACTACTAGAATGAGATATAAGCCTAGACCTCAAGAGTTTTGCACTTTTTTTTATCTTTCTTTCTCTCTATTTCTGTTTCTGTCTTTCTCTCTCTCTTTCTCTCACTCTCGCTCTAGATCTCTCTCTCTCTTTCTCTCTCTCTCTCTCTCTCTGTCTGTCTCCCCCTTCCCTCCCCCCCCAAACCCTGCTCAGCTATCATGAGAGTAAACCTGGGGTACCCTGATGGAAGATGGAAGTTGAAAGACACATAACCCATCACCCCTGTAATCCTGGTCAATAGCCAGTGAGCTACTAAATGTAAAAGGACAGGCATCCTAGACAAGCCAGCCCTACATGACCTGCAAAGCAAGCTGAACACAGATATAAAAGCCAGCTGGTCAGCATCAGTCAAGACTGGCTAAGATTAGCAGAATCTCCTAAAGAAACAGTAGACTTAGGAACAATAAATGTTTCTTCTATTAAATCAATCTGTATTAGGTGTTTTGCAATGCAGAAATAGCAAATTGATGTAGAGGAGATAGGATAAACAAACTGATGAATAATGACTATATTCAAATAATGAATATTGTTGATGCTGTGCAATATATATGCAGAGGTTCTTTATGCTAATCCCTCTACTTGCAGGTATATTTTTGACATTTTCATAATATAAATATATTCAGTACCAATTTAGTCTATAAAAACCAGAAATCAGTCTAAAATATTCCAGCAGCAGTAAGGAGATTATTTTGGACAAAAGGTAGATAAAGTCATGAGAATGCCCACTGGCAAACATTTATAACAAAAACAGAAAAAAATATTCCTTAATACTGCCAAACTATCCTTACCTGTTCTGTTGGAAAAATATTCAGAAAATTGGGGCTTCTCTAAACATCAGTATGTACATTCTGTATATTCAGCATAATTAAACAATACAACTCAATGTTTTTTCCTTCTTAGTTAAATAGTTTGGAAAGTCAAGACCAACTAAAGAAAATGTAAGCTCAGTTTTTACTATGCAATTATTTAAATCTTGGTAGTTGTTACTATATAGTCATGATACCTTTTCATCTTTCTTTCACACTTGATCCTTAATTTACCAATTTTGCATTATGTTTCCACTAGAGGTTCTTTTATATGCCATTAACAGAGTCTAGAAA